GGTTCCGGGTTCCCGGTTCCGGGTTCCCGGTTATTGGTTCCGGGCCGATTTCGGTGGGTTCTGGATTCCCGGCCTCCCGGGTTCCCGGTCGATCTCCTCAGCGAAAACCATCCACTGATTGGGGTTTTCCTCTGGTGTAATTTTCGAATGATCCGCACGCTCAAGAAGTAGCTATGGTCGCCCACGGCCCCAGTCACGAGTGACAACCACGCTCGAGCCCAACAATTACCATAAAACGCCCCCGCCAACATATCCAGCCACCGCTGACCACAAGCCCAAACCCAACGATCACCAGCCACGAAGCCAATGTCCAGCCAGCCTAAACCACAGCCGCAGGTACGTAGCCGTAGCTAGCCTCGGCTTGCCTGGACAACTTGGGCGCGGCCGCGCTGATCCCCTCCCCCGCCTCCCCCCGGTCGTCCAGCGCAAAAGTGCGCATCGAAGAGCGCCATGACACCGAAAGGACTTGCCCTGGGAAACATGCGGTGGATATCGCGGGGGGCGATGGCGCAGTGCGGTGTTTCGTGGCGTTCGTGCGGCTTTGGCTTGGAGAGGTCAGTGCCAGCATTCGGGTCCTATGTGGTAGCAATTTTTCCTCGGGGCGACATCGCGCCTCGGCGCGCAGGATGAATGACGGGCGCGCCACGCGCCAGCTGTTTCGCCAATGCCCGAAGAGCCGAAGAACGCCGAAGATCGGCCCAAAAACGTCGCAACAGCAACCGAACATGCGATTTGGAGGGCCGCAGAAGGGCGCGCGGGGGGCGGAAGGCGGCCCTCCCCCACCTTTGGATCGATAGCCTCCAAGATGGCCCCGTGAGGCCCTCCAGAGCCCCCAAGAGGGCCCCAAGACCCACCCAAAAGGTCCCCCAAAGGACCCCAACACCCCTCAACAAAACGCCGATAAGGTTCCAAGAAACGATTTTGACGGCTCTGTCGTCGTCCTCGTTGTCCTCCTCAACCGCCTCCTCGTTCTCGTCATTGCCCTCGTGGATTCCGTTTTCATGTTGTTCCCTTTCCTCGTCGAAGTCGTGGTCGTGGTCGTTGTCCTTTTCGTCATTATCCTTGTCCTCCTCTTCCTTATCATCCAAGTTATATTCCTCTTCCTCCTCCGCCTCCTTCTCCTCGTCGTCGTACTCCTCCTCTTCTTGTTTCTCCTCCTCCTCCTCCTCCTCCTCCTTCTCCATCCTTTTTTCCTACGCCCCCCCCCCTCCCCCCCCTTCCCTCGCCCCCGCGCGGGCCACCGGGGTGGCCCGACGGCGCCCTCCGAAACCACCCACCTACTCCCAGATGTCTCTCTCTCTGTTCGCCGCGGACGCGCGCCCAATTTCACCGCGCGCGCCCCGTCGTCATTTCCCCCCCGTCCGCTCTTACGGGCAGGTTTTCTGAAAGGGCCTGTGGGGATGCGCGAAGCGTGGAACATTGCGATGCGTGGGCCACAAACGCAACCTGGCCACGCATGCCCGCGGCCCGCAAAGATTAGTTCGACATGGCCCACACTTCGATACTTCGTTCGACGATGCCACCGACGCATTGAATGAATATTATGCACATGCCAAACAACGAACTGAACATCGCCACGATCCATTTAACTATAGATTTAGCCGAAACGCCAAAAACTGGCCGGATTTTGCCATGACTCAAACAATTCATTCGCCGGCCTTGGTCACGACCTCCATGCTGAGCTCGAGCAGGCCACGCCGTCAACAACTCGCGCCGAAACTTTAATTCCGAACGGGAGTCATCCACGACTTCGCTAATTCGCTGAAGCTCGCCCAAGCCTGCAGAATTACTCATGGTGACCTACGGCCTCGATCAATTTCCGAATGCGCCGCGCAGCCGATCAGTAGCTCTGGCCGACCACGGCGCCAGCAACGAATGATAATTGATCAAGGCCCCAACAAGTAAACGCAACAAAAACGCCCCCCCCCCCCCCCCACACACACACACACACGCACACACACACACACACGCACACACACACACACAGTGTTCGGCCACGGCTAAACACGACCGAAAAGCGCTCACTCGAAACGGAACACAGAAAAGATAAAACGCATTTTCGGCGTATGTGCTTGTTGGCATGAAAAAGCAGATTCTCGGGGCAGCAATTTGCACGTGCGCGCTGGACGAAAGAACGCGCGGCGCCGGCGCGGCAGGCGCCCACTCTTTCGCCGTGGGCAGCGGGGCGGGGCGATGGGGCGTGTCCCTGGCGCGATAGGGCGCAAATTTCAACGCGTCTCTTGCGTTGGTTCATGAACCGTGGCTTTCTCGGGGCGGCATTTTCCCTTTGCGCGTCGGTCGAAGGAACGCGCGCCCCTGGTGCGGCGAACGCCAACTGCTTCGCCGTCGCCTGACGGGTCGAGCGAGGGGCGCGTCTCTGAAACAGAAGAATACATTTCGAAACGTTTCTGTTGCGTGTATTTTTAAGTCGAGGCTGTCCCGGGTCTACATTTACCTCTGCGCGCTGGGTCAGGGGGCGCGCGCCGTCGACGTGGAGAGCACCTCCTGTTTCGCCATTACTGGAGGGGCGGAGGGGTGGAAGGTCATCTGGGATATCAGAAT